TTTTTTGTTTATTTCTACTGTGGGAAAGGGTGAGGAAGAAAATGAACACGAAGTCATATGCTGTGGTTTGTGTGCGGACCTTCTTCTTACCCAGAGAAATGGTACTTCAAAGTGCCTTACTGCCACATGGATTACTAACTCTTTGCTTCGCTAAGGAACGATATTTTATCTCTTTTCCCCCGTATGTTCTCTTTTCTGCTGGCAAAATTTGTTGTGTGGAAGAAAATGTATAAAATTTCCGGATACAAGGAAAAAAAGTTGTAAAAAATTCCAGAATTCGCTGTCTTTCAAATTTTTCTTCTTTTCGACTTCTATTTCTTACGGAATCTTCCGCATGATTCTTTTCTCTCAGAAGAACCATTCGTTGGTATGCACACACAGTGAGTATGACAAGTAACAACCGAAAAAATTAATTCAGGTGGTTGTAGAGTAGCCCCATATGGCGGATAGCCGTATCAGCAGTTCCGGTAGCTACTAGTAATCCTGGAAGTCATGACAATTTTAGGATCTTTCCATTTTAAATGCAAGTTAATACTACATGGAGTGTTCTTGCAGTCACCTCGTCCACCACTGCGAAGCAGTGCAGCAAACAGTATTTGCCGCTCGTAATCGCTTCCCGAGCAGCTCCAGCGACAGCGGTAACAATGAGAATAGTGATGGCAGCAGCAGTAACAGCGGTAAGAACTTCTCAACTATCAGTAATGATAATAACGAGAACTGATGGTGATGCTGATGGCGATGACTGCAATAATAATAACGATGGGCATCTTCGGGGCGCGCCGTTCAACTATTCCATTGCGTTAAATTCGGCGATGAAAAGCAGCGTGCAGGATGAAAATTTCTATTAGCAGTGATGGGATATTGATGGAAATGATTTTCAGTCATTACAGAAATTTTGAGTCAAAACGAGTCCAATTTTTCACTCTTCTTGGGAAAGTCATTCGAAAGTAGCCCGAGTGGTAGCAATTTGCCAAAAACAATTTTTCATAACTTCCTTCTCAGGAACTTATTGAGGCGCAATGCTGACCAAAACTTGCCAAAAATACTAACAGTCTATCTGAGCATTTGTGTACAAAGGACAAAAAGCAGTCGAGGAAAGGAGAGTGTTGAAAAATGCCAAGTGGATTTATCAGCAAAGCTAATTGCGAATCCAACGTCAGTTTTGAAATTGTTTCTCATTTCTCCACTGGGGACCTCAAACTGTCTACAGGTCATCAGGATGAGTTACAGTGGTCAAACCAATCGAATTAGCTAAAATTAAGGAGGGGA